TGTTCAATTTTTTGATTTTTGAAGTTTAGATTTTTGTTTGTATGATTTTTTTCAGGATTTGAATATTGAGAACTTTTCAATTTCTGGATTTTCAATTTTCAGATATTTTAATTTTTTGATTTTTTAATGTTTCGATTTTTGGGTGTTTTGATTTTTCGATTTTTAAAGTTTTTAATTTTTCGATTTTTAAAGGTTTTGATTTTTCGATTTTTCCGATTTGTTGTCATTTTAAGTATATTTCATTTTTCAATTTGCGCCTTCTGAGGGAGTATTATTTGTTGTGCTGCACTTGACGGGCGAGGGAAGTTCTGTCGAAATAACCTTCGACCAATTTTTATACTTAGCACGTAGGGTTCTTACTAATCATTCCTTATTTAACCGAACAGTTATTAATTTAACTAAGCAGCTATTATTTCACCAAACATGTATTATTTTTACTGAGAATTTATTTTTTAACTGAGCATATAATTGAATTCGAGTTTTTTCGTTTTTTTGCATTTCCTGTGAAAATTTGCCATAGTAATGTTTATTTTTTTGCACTATCGGAAAGTAGAGATTACAACGAACAAAAAGCACACCGATTTTTTTAAAAAGCAGATATTTTGAAGTGAGAATTTTCAATTGAAAATTAGGGTGCTTTTTCGATATTAATTCAAAATAAAAGGAAAAAATAAATATTTTGAATCAAAAAAATTACAGTGACTTTGGGAGATAAATAGGTAAGTTTTCACAAATTTTCGTGAAAAAAAAAATTATGAGAGTTTAAATTAAAAAACCAAAAAGTCGCTTAATTGCAATTTTCGCATTAATTTTGAGGTTATGTAAAAAAAGTGTAAATACAAAAGCCGTAGATATTTTATTACCTACAACTTTGCTATTCAAGTTTTTTTATAGGACTTTTAGTTTTGCCGAAAATCATGATAAACCATTTTCTACCCTTAAAAGCTTACCCCCTACCACTTTCCGACCTCAGATCACCCGTAAATTATGTTTCCTTTTATTGTTTTATATTTCCTTCATCCTGTTGTATTTCTTTTTGCTTTTTACCATTTTCAAAGGCTTCGGCACTGGCCTATAAAAGGAATTGAAGCCTACACAACCGATGCAAAGAAAGACATTAAGGCAAGGTCGAAGATCCTCCTCACACTTGACCCGATAAATTACGTTCACACCCAGGAAACCACGATAGCTAAAGAAACGTGAGATCAATTGCAAAAGGCTTTCCAAGACAATGGTTTGACAAGAAAAGTTGGTCTTCTCAGGACTCTTGTGACAACGCAATTAAATAGCTGCAGTTCGGTAGATGAGTATGTAAATCGAATCATCACAACCGCCCATAATTTAGATGGTATTAGTTTCAAAATTCCTGATGAACGGGTAGGAATAATCCTTGCTGGATTGCTTGAAGAGTGCAAACCAATGATAATGGGCATAGAGAACTCAGGAAAAGCAATCACAGCCGATTCACTTAAAACGAAACAACTGCAAGATATTCAGAATAGTTCAGCTGGAAGTAGCTCCCACAATGCAGCACCCTTACTCTTACATAGGAGAACTGATCGTGGCAAGGTTCGTTGTAATGCATGCCACGCATGTTTGGACATTATGTCAGCAACTGTAACAGAAACGGGAGATTGAAATAACGGGAAACGCCCAAACTTTGATCTCTTTACACACAACTTCCATCAATTTACTCAACACCGTATTCCAGTTCAGATTGATATCAAACGCTCCTTTAAAATCAAGAAAAATTCCCAACACGTACTTCTTTTCCGACCACTCCACAACTTGTTTCACTCTTATCCACGCATCCTGTATTCCCAATCCTTTCACGAATCCGAACTGAGCCCTCGACCTTCTTCTTTCAAGTACCCTCGCCAATTTCCCCACAAGTTCGTCGATTTGAAAGACGTCCAAAGCCAATTATCAGGGAAGATTTTATTTCTTACCTAACGATGAATCCAAACGCAACAGATCCACAATCAGTTGAAGAAGTCCTATCAAGTAGAGAAAGAAGTTATGGAGGGAAGCAATGCAGCAGGAGTATGAAGCTCTGATGGAAAATAAGACTTGGGTTCTTGTCGATCCGCCTCCAGACAGAAAAATTTTTAACACATTGTGGGTATATAAGAAAAAGACTAATGCAGAAGAACAGGTAGGACGCTATAAAGCTCATTTAGTAGTGAGAGATTGTGCAGGAACGAAAGGTTTAAATTATATTAGACTGGTCTTTTGTCTTATTCTTAGTCGCCCCTGCGCGTTCTGGTTAGGGGTGATTGTTAGAAACTTGTTTGATTAACTTCTCATCTGGCAGCTGTCGATGTCCAGTGAGTTAGTGTTCGGAGGTGTTCGGGTTTTTGCCGTTGTTCTCACAATCGCTTTTGCCGTTTTTGAGGTTAGGTATCTTCTGCCGAAGAATATCAATTTTCTCTCTCAACTCCTTGATAATTTGGTATTTCTATTTAATAATGTAGCGAACAGTTCTAATGTTCATTGTCTTGATACCATCCTCCGAGTCCATCAGCGCATCCCACAACTCCTATTCGTTCTCTCCGTCGGTAGTATCACCCAAAAAAGCTTTTGGTCTTCATATAGTTACAAGAAATCTAACAATTTTTAGACTTATTTATAGAGAGTGGTTAAATAAATACAACCAGATTTCTCATATTTTCCAAATGGAACACCCGTATTTCAGGATATTGATCAATTTTCAAACTTAATTATTTTCAAAGATTTCAGTTCATACCAACTTTGTTGTGGTCAAGCTTAACAATAATACCAAAAAAATTGTGATAAATCTCACCAAAGTTGGTATCAAAAGAAAACTTAGTAGAAACAAACTCAAAAATACTATAAAATACAGCGTTGTTTATTTGCGTAAGTTAATTTTTTCAACAATTCACGTCTTAACAAGTTTCAAAGACTAGTTTTGTTCTGCTCTAGGATATCTCAAATGAAATGTTTAATACTTCGACATAAACAGAAAATAGTGTGCAGGCCAACAATATTGGTCCTCTTGAAGCGACCTTGTGCGCACCGAATCGGGTTTACCCACCCTTTGTATATTTATTATTCGAAACGGAGACTTAAAACTTGTAACATCGAAACGAAACGTATCAATATATTTGTTGTTGTATTAAAACGAAGTTTTTATTAATAACGCGAGACTCTGAACGGGTCTCCAAACAATTAGATTCTGTTATTTAATATACAGTTCCATCTTGATAAGCTACTATTTTTTGGGCACAAGAATCTAAATCTAAAGTTTTCTTTAATGAGGTTCTTTCCTGATGTTCCTTTGGAGTCGAAAGAGTCGAGTTCTTTTTAATTATTATTTCAAAGCTTTATGGAACCATTAATAACTAAGCATACCAAATAACGGGTGTTCATCAGAAAAGCCCATCAAGCTGGCGTTGCTTTTTTTTGTCGCCCTAAATTTCAATAGCAAATTTAATCAAGAAACAAAAATTTTCACAGCAGACAGTTTTGAAAACTTCAAAATATAGGTAGAGGACGATTCGATGATTTTCAAAAAGATGATTGTTTTCGTAGATACAGCTCAGTTTTTCGAAAGAAAAAACAATACTTTATTAATTCATATTACATGTAAAGAGTCTTAATTTAAACAACTACTGAAAATCATTACCGCCTGCGGAACCCATGCACCGATTCTTCTCCTAATTGAGGACCGAATTTTATTGGTTCCATTAAACTTACTGCACGCTCAGTCTTAATACTAGATTTGTTCTATTTAATTGATGAATGAACGAAAAAATATACAATCCGAAATTAAATACTTCACAGTTTATTTACGATGTAGTAAACATAACACAGAATAAGACATTTTCATAACCTAAAACAAATTGTCACAAATTAAGTCAACCAAAAACGAAGCCTAACCGAAACGAACAAAGGGTACGACAAAATACCAAACGGTCCAGCACTAATGAAGAGTTTCTTTTGGCTTCTTAATAATAAAAACTGTATATCTTTTCGTAATCTGACGTCTATTTGATACCATTTAGAGACCCAGACGGCGTGAGAAATCGACTCACTCTAAAATAACACACAAGATTACTTAGCCTAGAAACAAAACTTGTACAATCAGTTTAACAATGATTAATTGATTATATTGTAAATTAACTTACAGCATTAAAAAGCAGCTGCCCTGCAACACAAGGCAAAAACAAATTGACAATCCAAGCAAACATGTGTACACCAGCGCAAAGTCTGTCGTCCTAAAACACAAAATTTAATAAGTTCAAATATGTCAGGATGATTTCTACCTTCTACCTCAATAAATTGTTTTTCTAAAGTAGCACAGATTATTGCTGTCAGGGTTAGATGAGCAAACATGGTGTTAGAGAAAGAGGCGTCAAGTTTCTCTGCTAAACTGAAATGGACAACCGATAAGTTGTCAGTCTGGGAATAACTAAATACAATCAGATAGTGTAAATTTAACACGCACCACGAAGGAAATCTACCTAGTTTTGAAATCGTGTAGTTCATTTACTTACTTCAAAATATCGGCGTGATACTGTACACAGTGTCTTAGTTTCCCTTTGCAGTTGTTGTAGTTGTCAACCTCAAAACAGTCCTGTATCAAGGCATTTAAATGCTTAATTCTGAGAATGATATGCCGGGTGAATTCAAATGCACACGACGAAATTAACAACGCAGGTTTAACAAATAACTGACTAGCAAGAAGTACGTAGAGAAAAACTATCTGATAGGTAATGGGGTGCTGTATATTAAAAGGAATCCAAAGTGAGATGATAAATCCACAATTTTCGTTTAAGTTTTTTTCCTTGTTTATTCTCTCACATTCTGGTTTCCTCAAGTATTTAACCACTGTGTATACTGCTGTAGCAAACACAGAATACATAAAAGCTGCGTTAGAGAGCATACTTAACCATCTTTCTTCTTTTTCAATATTCGGAGGTTTGCCAAAATTTTCAAAATCTGATAAGTCTTCTAGAAGTTTTACCAGACAGGGTCTCTTGTATATAAAAGTAAATGTTATATAATAAATGCCAGACAACGAAATCACAATTGCAATATCTTCGCTGAGGGAAATCTCCCATTGATCTAGAAATGATTTTACAAGTTTAATGTTTTTCCGCAAGAAGACATTAATTACTTCTTAAAGAGAGAATAAGATGCATTAATACAGAACTATATAATATTCCAGTTGTAAAGCAGAATATACCAATTCTGATGTAGTATGATATTCCAGGATTAACTTCTTCTCCAATATTTGGCCAAATTAGGACCCATCGTAAGTTTCTTCTGGTGATGTAGCCAACGCTAATATTATTTTTTTTAGTTGTCATGATTTGGGGTGACCTTTGCCGAAAGATCTAAAAAAATATAATCTCTTCTTCTGTAGTCTGAATAAATCAGTATACACGTTTGCTGAAAAGTGTGGATCTAGCTAAACATTTCCAGAACGGTTTTTTATTTCAGTTAAATGTATTACTATTACAATTATTATTAACTTTTCTTTAATTTTTTATAAACACACAGGTGGTAAAGGACTAATAATGGATACACATTTCCTAGGCCAAATAAATATCACATTTCCAAATTTTATTATTTTAATTTTTTACTTAACGAGCATAAGCTGAGAAAGTATAGAAATCGAGTCATCTTTAAAATTTATAATAATAATTAATGTGTCAAATTTTATAAAATAATATACGCCTGCACTTGTGGTGTATGCATCCGTGCGAATTTTCAACATAGAAATCCAAATTTTTGGAAAAATTCAAGACACTATCACGATATTTTGAAATTTAACTTTGACACTTCATTCGAAATGCTCCGAAATACTGCAAATATTTTAAGGTTATCGTAATCATCGTAAGTCGTTAAGCAAAATTTATTCGTTTATCCTCTCCCAAAAAATTGATTACGTCATCTCAAAATTTTGCCCCCTCTCTGAAATATGCAAAATATTATTACTCTATTCTTGTGGTATATCAAGGCATTTGTTGTTTTTAGAATTATTTATACAGATTGACTCAAAAAATTAATGAAAAAGTTAATTTATTTTATTAATTAAATAGGAACTGTACAACCGAATGCTTTGAAATCTAGCACAAGTTTAAAAGTTACTGTAGCCATGGTAAATTTTTAATCAAAATAGATCCCTTTATCTTCCTTAGAAAACTGATGAGAACCCAGTTTAGTCGGATGTATTTAGAAAAATTTAGATTTACATCTTTTCTTCAAATTTTATTCAGCAACATGCACTAACGATTAATAACACTAACGAAAGTAATTAAATTAACGAGTAGAAAATGCCTACACACAAAATAGAGCTAATTTCATTCTTGCATAAAAGAGTGATTTTTGCAAAAATAATAGTAATAATTTTAATTAACCAAGGCTGTTAAGCCAATTTTTGGAGCCTAGTTAAATTACTTATACCCGAAGCTCCGAAATGTCTTGACCACCATTGTTAATACGGAATTGTTCCCAGTACTAGAACATTTTATTTTTCAAATACTTTTAATTGATACCCCTAATACTTAAACAAGTTCTGTTGGCTTAATTGTTTTGTAATTTTGTATGTAACTTAAAAATATCAGCCACGGTTTTCATAAAATCCAACAACATGAATCATGTCAAGGCAACGTACAAAACAAATTTCATTGTTGAGTTGGAAAATTAAAAGTTCGTTCTCTATTAACCTATGAAGAGAAAAACAACTTCTAAGTAAGACCACGTATAATGAATTGTTTTCAGATTAGTAGTGGAAAAACAAATATTATAAATTCTTATGGAAAATATTGAAGCAGTTATTTAACAAGCTTTCATTTACTTTAGCGGCAGCCACTTTATGTTTTATTACAGTTAAAATACTACAAAATAAATGATTTGGTGATAAAAAGTTTTAAGAAATAATAAAATTACACAGCACAATTATGTGTGCTTTAGATGAATTAACATAAATTTATTTTTAAAACGTTATCTCCAAGTTCAGCTGTTTTAAATTCAAGGAGTGTAGATAAACGAAGTTGCAGCAATATGTGTCCTGAGAGTTTATTAATGGGTGTAATGAATGTATTTAAACGTACCTGAATTTAGTTAGCTTCTCTGTGAGTTCCAAGTGTGCTGTGCTAAATAGTTAACCACTAGTAATTATTATTGTAAATGTTTTTAGTAATATGTTTAGCACTTTTTAGTTATTCTCACTGTTACAAATAAGTATCTAAAGTCTCTGATAACTTTCCTGCTCTTGTGGCTTATATATTTTCTATAGTCTTGAGGTAAATGAATTATTTATTTCCTGAATGAAACGAAATGCATATTCGAGTTCGAGAACACCCACTTGTTTGATTCATGCTTCCACGTTATTCTTATCATTTTATTTGAGAGGCGATACGTTGTACTGACTTTTTTCCTTATTTAAATATTCATGAGCGCTTGTGTACGGACTTTACATTAATGCAGACATATGCTTACGACAATTTTAAAGATATGATAATATCCAGAGTACACTCATTGAACCAAATTTTATCACGAACCATTCAACACCGAGTTAATATACTTAGACGTGCTTGAAGAGTTCAAAACACAGAAAAATAAACAAACATATGATAAATTCTTTTTAAGTAATACTCGTAGTTATCACCCTGGCTCTATTTGGAATTTAGTAAGCAACTCGAAAGAACAAAAATTAACATCACTTGCTGTTATGCCATTCAATCTGGATGCATTTAATACTTTTTTTAGAAATATATACTCCGACACCAAAAACTTAATTTCTTGCAACAATTGCTCACACTTTCCTGAATTTATTTTTGGCGAAGATTGAATTCTCCTTCAAAAGACGTATACCCGTATTTGGTTTGTTTTAGTAAAAACAAAGGTCCCAAGTAATGTGGTGACCGAATTTGAATAAAAATTTCGCGCTGAATTTAATTAACAGTGGCGCGAAATCACATAGGAGGAGAGCGGGAGGCACCATTATGTTGCTGTTCGGTGTAGTGGATGCATGGTGAAAGGACGCTGTAAGTAGCTAAGTTTAAATTAGCTGGTTTGGTAGTTAATAAAAGGGAGGAAGCCTTTTTCTAACAACAATTAATCGTAACGATGCGATGGCGCCCAGTTTCCCCAATCCGCGCGGTTAATTCTTGCGCCCTTTTAATCGGAAAAAAGTGCGGGTTTTCGTTCAACGAAGACCACGGTATCTAGATTTGTTTTATTTTTGTAAATTCACCAATCAAGTTAGCTTTTTTAATCGTCTGCTAGTGCTAATACCTTTTAACAATCAGGATTATTTAAATAAACCACTTGCTAGAAGATTTCATGAAAATCACTTAGCCAGAATAACACCTTTGTTCTTTAATCACGAATAAGTTTCTGGATGCATATACGTAAGTGTTACATTATAACACTTCATAATTCTTCACACAAGATTGCTAATAGTTCGTTTACGGCAGATAAACTGACTAATTCATACCACGAACTGACGGGGGGTTAAAATAATTTTTTTCCTTAGGTGGTTATCATCGTTATTATCATCGTTATCCTGATTACATCACCGGGGCATGCCCTCGCAACGTTAGAGATTGACAACATAACTGAGGCAAGTCCTCGCAAGACTAAAGATTGATTACATCACGTTAAAATTTACATCATCGAGGTATTTCCTCGCAACGTTAAAATTTACATCATCGAGGCGTTTCCTCGCGACGTTAAAATTTACATTATCGAGGTGTATCACTTTGAGCATGATATAATTTAACATAATGTAAACTTTTTGTTTGAATCGTTGATAAAGTGTGGCAAGTATTAATCTCATGTACATTTTGTTAACTTTGCAATTTTTCACCTTATACAATATTTCTCTATCTCACAATTTTAACCTCAGTAATTTTCCTTTGTTGTATAATTTTTATTGGACGTAAATTTCATGCTATGCTTTTTTAACCTCACATAATATTTTTATTTGCACAAGTTTAATTTTTCAATTTAAGGCGGGAAGTTTGGGTTATCACAGTAATTTAAATAGAATTTTGCTTGGCCATGAAATAGAATCAAACCAATCCATTTTCTAAAATAAATCCTAAAATCTAATTTTGCAAATTCTTTTGTGATGATCCCTCTCAGCTTCTAATGAAAATCGAAAAAATGGTGAAAAGTACCGTTGAATTAAAGTTCGATGTGCCTATGAGGTCGGTTAACAATTTATTGGAAAAATTGACCTATTTGAAAGTTAAAAATGCCAAATTGTCTAAGGGTTTAGAAGATATTTAAATCGACTAAGATATGTTTTAAAATGACATAGAATTTATTTAAAGCTGACTCAACCCAATGCGATAAAACTGAAAAAACTCTTGTTGATTTAAGTGAAAAAACGGAGTTCATCAATTCTGACGAGTCCATACACATTAAACGAAAACTGAATATAAGCAAAAGGAGGAGTAAACTTGCAAAAAAAAACGAAGAAATCGAATGACGAATAGAAACAAATACATACCAAGGAAAGAGAAAAAACAGACTGAAATTGTAGGAATAACAGCTATTTCGAAGAAGGCTTACATCTACGTCTCTAGACTTGGTCTAAATATATTGTTACCTTAAAACGTCGTCTCTGCTATAAAAGCGAGGGAAGATACACTTGCCCGTGCTCACTTCCGGGAGAGCCGGTAGGTGGATCCGAGGTTTTAATTCAGAATGAAAGGCTAATTATTTTGGCGAGCTGTATAATAATTAAAATATTTAGGGCTTTTAGTACCAAAAAAAATATTATCTAGGTTAGTAAAAGGTAACAAAACTACAACTAATGTCAGTAACGAATTACCATAACAAATGAACTGACGAACTACTACGCAACAACGGTCTACTAGCTAGTTACAGGAAATGCTGACTATTTCACAAATAAAAAAAATTGGGCGCCATCAAATTTATGCGGGTACGTGAAAATTTGAAAAAACGTTGAAAAGCATGTAAAGAGTGAAAGAGAGAGACGCAGAAAAAAACGGTTGGGTCTGGCGACAAACGATAAGAAAATTTCCGATCGCGATAAGGCGTGTTCTTTTACTCGTAGCTCAAAAAAACAGGAGTCTTCCCACAGGACGACGGCGACGCGCTGACCAAGTCCTGCCGCGGCCTGGATCCCCCGATGTTCAACTCACCAGGTCCGCGTCTTCGACGTCGCGATCATCCAAAAACTCCGGGTCTCCTAGCTGGCGCTACGCCCAGCAAATTTCCCTCGTTTCGCTGCCCTCTACGTCGCCTCTGTACGGCTCCGAAACTTCGCCCCTGGCGTGGACCCTACAGGTGGAGCAATAAGCCTACATGCGGCAAAAGGCACGAAATTTACCTTATACAAGGGATACGCCTCACTATCAATCTATGGAACTGAGTACTCTCAAAAAAGAAAGGAAACCATCAGGTCAAACCTCGCCAAACTCAAATCACCTCTTCTCGGCACCAACTCTCACTCTTCTCTCACTTTGCACCCCCACCTCTCGCTTGGCCGTCTCCGTCCCCGCCAGTACTACTTCGTAGAGGCAAAAAAAACTCAAAATTTGGCGGAGCTGCCGGCGACAATCCGCAATAAAAAAAGAGGTCGAGATCGGTGACAGGCGTTCGCTACGACCGATTAAAACCATCGAGCGAGACTTCGTCTAAGCCCCTTTCACCCTCGACTCCAAAAAAAATCGTAACAATATATACTTAGATAGACAAACATTGCAGTGATTCGAGTTTACTATTTAGTTGGTGTAGTATTTAGGTTAATTTAATAGTTTTTAGAACAATAAATACGTAAGTGGTAGACAGATATATTCAGAAGTATGAGGCATTCATACTAAGAAAATTCTCAGCATTTTTGGTAAACGCAAAAGTAAAAAATTGGTCTAAAGAGTTTAGACAGTACTTCCCTCGCTGTCGGAAACTTGACGACTGCATGCCTATTGTGTTTTTTTTCTCATTACATTTTTGTAGTGGGAATTTAAAAAAAAAATGTGATGACGTCATTAATATTTTTGCAAGGACACATATATCAGTTGGGATAGATGTAGTGTAATGCTAAGAATAAAATTATTGTATTCCCAAATTTTCGGGAAAATGAATTGGGTCGTTTTGAATATTGATTTCTTATAATCAATAAAATAACGAAACAATTTACTCACGTATACGGCGCCGGTGTGTAATATCTAGAGAGCGGATTTCTGTCGGGCTAGGCAAGGCCAAACTCGGTACGGCTCGTACGGGATGCGAATTCATTGCGGTTGCGGACTGCACGTCCTTTATTTGAGATTAGAATAACGCTGTTTCGTTGCACTCTGCTGTTAATTCCCGTTCTCATTTACTTAGCCGTTTGATTAACAAATCGTTAATTATATTTATGGAATTAGTACCGATTAAATTCAGTGATTATCTATCACTCGGCGATCCAGCACGTCCCCCCCTATAATCGTGACGTAGCCCGATAGAAATCCGCTGTCTAGTAATATGAGGGGCAACTGAAAATCGTTTATGTTGCTTCGACTTCCGCTTATTATATAAAACATTGGGTTTTATTTTAATTCTTGACGGTGAAATTCACAATTGGTTGATTATAAATATGTCTATTCCACATTCGCTGAACCAAGTGAGCGCATAAAACAAATGCAGGTCTGTAATGTTAAAGTCGATGTAAATAAGCGTGCTACCCTTATGTTTCAACCGAGTTTTTCCTTTAACAAATTTTGTGTCTACCAAATTGGGTTGGTTGGGGTGTAATACTAATAATAAGTGTTGCCTTTAATTTAATCAATAAAATAAATTGACTTCATTAATTTTTTTGAACCACCTCTTAAGAAAATCTAAAAAATATGAATGGAATGATAAATCACAAGTACAAACTCATCATATTTTTTGCATTTTAGATAGGATTTATTCAGCAAAATTTAAGGGTGACGTCATCAATTTTTTTAGGAGTTATGAACAAATACATTTTGAACAAAAGTTTGCCATGCTTATAATAACTTTAAAATATTCCCAAGATTTCAAAGCATTCGGTTTTGTAATTCCTGATTAAATCGATAAAATAAATTCACGCATTCATTAATTTTTTTGAGTCACCCTGCATATACAAATCCAAAAATATGAATGGAATGATAAATCACAAGTACAGAAGTATTTTGTACATTTTAGATACGATTTATTCCGCAAACTTTTGAGCTGACGTCATCAGTTTTTTGTAGAAGATAACCAAATATATTTTGACTAAAAATTTATTATGCTCTTTATAACCTTAAAACATCTGCAAGATTTCAAAGCATTCGGTTTTGTA